AGAGTCCCTATCTATCCCTTGTGGCTAACAGCCACTGATGGACCTCTGCTCCATATGCTTATCTAATTCCCTTTTGCAGCCGTCCATGCTTGTAGCCGCCACCATCTCCTGTGGCCGTGAATTCCACGTGTTCATCACTCTTTGGGTGAAGAAGTACTTCCTCTTATCCGTTCTAACCCGACCGCTCAGCAATTGGGAGAAAGGCAGAAAAGGACCTCTCTCCCTACCTGCTCTATCCCATGCATATAATCTTAGAAACCTCAATCATGTCACCCCTCAGTCGTCGTTTCTCAAAGCTAAAGAGCCCTAAGCGCCTTAACCTTTCCTCATAGGGAAAGTGTTCCAGCAACACAGCAAGGAGGTACACCTTGTGGTGGGGAGTTCCAGAAGTTAATTATGAGTTCTGGGAAGTGCTTCCCTTTGGCCCAGAAGATGATGAAACTTTCTGAGTGATCCTGACAGGTGTGTGTGTGTGTGTGTGTGTGTGGGGAGCTTGTCTCCCTACCAGATTGACATTCAGAGCAGAGACTCAAGATGGGTAACATTCATTCATCAGTGTGTCCGCACACCAGTGTGGTGTAATGGTTAGGGTTACATTCTTATATTTGCTGCCAGAGGATGTAGTGATGGGCACAGGCATAAACGGCTTTAGAAGGAGATTAGAGAGATTCATGGACGAGAGGTCGAGCCGTGGCTACTAGCCATAGTGACTAAAAGAAACCTCCACATTCAGAGGCACTAGTCCTCGGAATCCCAGAGCCCGGAGGCAACATCTGGGGAAGGCCTCAGCCTCTGGGCCCTATCCTTGGCCCTCCAGAGGAACTGGTTGGCCACTCTGTGAGACAGGATGCTGGACTAGAGGGACCACTGGCCTGATCCAGCAGGGCTCTTCTTAGTGTTAGACTAGGATCTGGAAGACACAGGTTCCAATCAGTGTTCCCGCCAGCTCACAGTTTTTTTGCCTCCGGCTCAGAGATTTTTTTTGTCTTAGCCCAGGAAGGAGGGCTCCAGAGCAAACTAGACGTTTGGCTCCAGAGCAGTAGCCAAATCGCTGACTCACAACTTTAATGCCAGCAGCTCACGAAGTAGAATTTTTGCTCACAAGGCTCCACAGCTTAGAGGGAGCATCGGTTCCAGTCTCTGCTCTGACAAAGTAGCATGCTGGGTGGCCATTGGAGCAGGGATCCATGAGTGGCTACTAGCCACAAGATGTCGGTAACTCACCTATGGTAGTGATGCTTTATATTCTTAGTGCTTGGGGAGCCACAGTGGGAGGGCTTCTGGAGTTCTGGCTCCACTGGTGGACCTCCTGATGGCCCCTTGACACAGAGTGCTGGATTGGATGGGCCATTGGCCTGATCCAACATGGCTTCTCTTATGTTCTTATACTCTGCAGTCTTGGTGGGAGGGCTTCTGGAGTTTGGCCCTGGTGGTGGAGCTCCTGATGGCACCTGGGTTTTGGCCACTGTGTGACACAGAGTGTTGGACTGGATGGGCCATTGGACTGCCAACATGGCTTCTTTTATGTTCTTATGTCTGGGGCGGTGATGTTGTGTCTTCTTGGTGCTTGGAGGTGCAACAGTGGGAGGGCTTCTGGAGTTCTGGCCCCGCTGGTGGACCTCCTGATGGAACCTGGGTTTTGGCCACTGTGTGACAGAGTGTTGGACTGGATGGGCCATTGGACTGATCCAACATGGCTTCTTTTATGTTCTTATGTCTGGGGTGGTGATGCTCTGTCTTCTTGGTGCTTGGAGGTGCAACAGTGGGAGGGCTTCTGGAGTTCTGGCCCTGCTGGTGGACCTCCTGTTGGCCCCTGGGTTTTGGCCACTGTGTGACAGAGTGTTGGACTGGATGGGCCATTGGCCTGATCCAACATGGCCTCTCTTATGTTCCTATGGCAGGTCACATACTCTCAGCCTAACTTTCCTCACCGGATAAAACAGGGAATAACGTGAGCCACTCTGTATCCCCAATGGGAAGAAAAACAGGGTATAAACGAGGCAAATGATCAAAATCTATGCACCACCTGTTGAGTATAAATGCACTGCGCCAGCCCTTTCCTGCTCTTCTGCCAACATTCTGCCCGACTGAATTCCCACTAGCATACTGCAGGACTGCCACGACGAAGGAGGTGCACTGAAAATTGTGGCTGGGGTGACGTGTTGCACATTGGAAGGACCCGCAGCCCATGGGTCCCATGCGTTAAGTGTCGGCTTCAGGCCCCAGCCCTAGATTGGAAAGGAAAGGGTCTTGAATAGCAAAGGCTGTGGAAGAGCCTTTGGAGAGCGAGGTTAGGCTATATGGGCAGAGAACGCTGAGCCCATCGCACAGGACGTGGCCCTAAGTGAGGTGCAGTGGGAACCGAACCGACCTATGAAAAACCAGGAATGACTCCTTCAACACGGTGTGAATTCGTCAGGCTCACTCACTGCCGGCTCCTGTGCAGTGAAAGAAAAACATCCCTATTGAAAGAAAAGGACTTCCGCTCTAGCCAAAGGGGCTGACCGAGAGGCAGTGTGGGGCAGCGGACAGAGTGTTGGACTAGGAACTGGGAGACCCAGGTTCAAATTCCCCCTCTGCCATAAAAGCCTGCTGGGCGACCTTGGGCCAGTCACACCCTCTAAGCCTAGCCTACCACACAGGGGTGTTGTGAGGATGAAATGGAGAACAATGTAAGTGGCTTTGGGGTCCCATTGGGGATAAGGGCAGTGTATAAATGAAATAGATAAAAATATGTATTCATTTGGACTTACACTGAAGAATGGTTGGATTTATACCCCACCCTTCACTTGGAGTCTCAGAGCAGCTTAGAATCACCTTCCCTTCCCCTCCCCACAACAGACACCCTGTAAGGTAGGTGGGGGCTGAGAGAGCTCTGAGAGAACTGCACTTAAGAGAACAGCCCTGAGAGAACTTGTGACTGGCCCAAGGTCACCCAGCTGGCTGCATGTGGAAAAGTGGGGAATCAAACTTGGTTCTCCAGATTAGAAGAAAAAGAGATTGGATGTATACCCCGCCCTTCACTAGGGAGCCTCAGAGCGTCTTACAATCTCCTTTCTATTCCCCTCCCCACAACAGACACCCTGTGAGGTAGGTGGGGCTGAGAGAGCTCTTGACAGAAACTACTCTTTCAAGAACAGCTCTGGGAGAACTTGTGACTGGCCCAAGGTCACCCTGCTGGTGGCATGTGGAAGAGTAGGGAATCAAGGCAGAACTTTTCAGGGAACATTCCAGTAACACAATGTTGAACAATAACTCCCTATCAGTCTCTGAAACCTTCCTGCAAAGAGCAGGCAGAATTACACAACACTGATCCCCACAATTCCTCCTCATCCTGTAGTTGCATTGTAAAAACCTCACAAACATATGAGGCCACCATTTTTAATCAGTCTTGAAACAGAAAAAGCAGAGGAGCAGGAGATGGAGATTGGAGTTATATCCTGCCCTTCACTTGGGAGTCTCAGAGCAGCTTACAATCTCCTTCCCTTCTTCTCCCCACAACAGACACCCTGTGAGGTTGGCGGGGCTGAGAGAGCTCTTTCAAGAACAGCTCTGGGAGAACTTGTGACTGACCCAAGGTCACCCAGCTGGCTGCATGTGGAAGAGTAGGGAATCAAACCCGGTTCTCCAGATTAGAAGAAAAAGAGATTGGATTTATACCCTGCCCTTCAGTAGGGAGTCTCAGAGCAGCTTACAATCTCCTTCCCTTCCTCTCCCCACAACAGACACCCTGTGAGGTAGGTGGGGCTGAGAGGGCTCTTTCGAGCACTGTGACTGACCCAAGGTCACCCAGCTGGCTGCATGTGGAGAAGTGGGGAATCAAACCCGGTTCTCCTAGATTAGAGTCTGCCGCTCTTAACCATTACGGGCTTGTGAGTTCTGCAGAAGTCAACCCCTTGTGTTCACCTGTGCTGACAGAGACTGCGTGGTTCGCCCACACTCAGTTCTCCTTCTCCTTTGGGGAGTATGCAGAGATCTCCCCCCACCCCCCCGTAGCGATTTACGGACCATCTGCCAGCGCACCCCCAAGAATCACCAACGCTCCCTCCCGAGGGCTCGCTAACAGAGCCAAACTTCAGAGGCTGTTTATCAAAAGAAGACGACGTCCAAGGTTCAGTTCGGGAGAGGCGAGTAATGTGATGTTCTGGGGCATATGCAGAGTGCCTCTTTTTCACGCTCAGTAACTGCTGTAGTGGGGTCTTCAACCTGGGAGCACCATTGGCACCCATCAACACCTTTCCTGGAGTCTGCCAAGTGTTTCTGTAAGGTGGGTGGGGCTTTTGCCCAGGTAGGCTTCCTTTTGGGCACTAGAGATCTGATTTGGCTGTGCAGTGTTTTTTTTAAAAAACATTGCTTTGGCAGCCGCTGCCGAAGGAGGTGGCGGCTGGATTTATACCCCGCCCTTCACTACCCGAAGGGGTCACAGAGCAGTTTACAATCCCCTCCCCACAACAGAGGAGCTGCGGTGGCTCAAGTGGTTAAGACGCTGAACTGTAGGCTGTGGAAGGTCAGTAGTTCAGCAGTTCGAGACCCAAGTGTGCCACATGATGGAGTGAGCTCCCGTCTCTAGTTCCAGCTCCTGCCAACCTAGCAGTTCGAAAGCAAGAAATTGCAAGTAGATAAATAGGTACCACTTTGGTGGGAAGGTCACAGCGTTCTGTGCGCCTTGGTGTTCAGTCATGCCAGCCACATGACCATGGAAATGTCTTCGGACAGCGCTGGCTCTTCGGCTTTGAAACGGAGATGAGCACCGCAACCCTAGAGTCGGACTCGACTGGCTTTCGAGCAAGGGAACCTTTACCTTTACCCCACAACAGACACCCTGTGAGGTAGGGTGGGCTGAGAGAGCTCTCTCGAGGACTGCCCTTGAGCAAACAGCTCTGAGAGAACTTGTGACTGGCCCAAGGTCACACCAGCGGCTGCATGTGGAAGAGTGGGGAATCAAACCCCTTGTCCCCCAGATTAGAGTCCGCGCTCCTAACCACTACAGCAAACCGCACAAGCATCTTCACCATGTGACTGAAGGTAAGCTGTGGCAGCTCTTTTGTGGACTGCTCCGCCTCCATTGGCGGCCATTTTGCGTCAGCGCCCACCATGCTGTGTCAGAATTCCAAAGGTGCCAGAATTCCTTAAATGGTCCGGGAATCTCTGTGCAACAGGTACGACCTGCACGATGGTCCCTCTGTTTTTAGTAGATGAAGCAGCTGAGAATATGGCCTCTGCTACAAACTCACTCTGAAGCCTCGACCATGCCACTCTCAGACTGAGCCCCCCTATAGGGGGTTTGGTGCACAGAAAACAGCATGCATTACGGTTAAGAAGAGATTGGATTCAGGGCCGGCCCCAGCTTATTTTGCACCCTAGGTGAGGATCCCTTCTGGTGCCCCCCCCCCATGTGCCCACCATGGCTCGGACCCGTTAATTGGATCTGTACCCCGGACCAATGTTCCCTCTAAGCTGTGGAGTCCTGTGAGCAGAAATTCTACTTTGTGAGCTACGGGCATTAAAGTTGTGAGCAGGTAGTTTGGCTGCTGCATAAAATTAGTTTGCTCTGAAGCCATCTTTCCTGAGCTAAGACAAAAATGTGTGAGCTGGAGGCTAAAAAACTGTGAGCTAGCTCACACTAACTCAGCTTAGAGGGAACACTGCGCCGGGCCTCCCGTTCCCCTGGCACCCATGCTCTTAACACTCACTTTTGCTTTTGTAACTTTGCCTGCTTTGCACATCTGGCTTCCACCAAGGAAGACTCTGCAAAGAAAGGCACTCGCAGTCGCAAACAACCTCTGCTTCCCACTTGCCTTGACAGTTCCTTGCTGGGGTTGCCATAAGTCAGCTGCAACTTGAGTGTCCTTGTGTAATAGCCCCCCTACTTAGATTCTTCTTTGACTCAGCTGAGTGACCCTTCTGTGCCCAGAGGGCTAAGTTCTTTGGTGGAATTGGTGTTGGTATCATCAGAAAGATCATAACATGTTTAAAACTCAGTAGTGTTTGCAGCTGAACCAGGACAGCGGGGTGTGTGTGTCAGTTTGGTGCCCCTAAGGGCCGGCGCGCTCTAGGCGAGCGCCTAGTTTGCCTAGTGAGTGAGCCGGCCCTGAGATTGATACCCTGCCCTTCACTACCTGAAGGAGTCTCAGAGTGGCTTACAAACCCCTTTTCCCTTCTCCCCACAACAGACACCCCGTGAGGTAGAACAAATTTAGAGTCCAGTCAGGCACCTTTAAGACCAACAAAGGTTTATTCAAGATTTCGTGTGCACACACGCTTTTTCAAATACATTGGAAAGCTCACCCCTTGAATGAACCTTTGTTGGTCTTAAAAGGTGCCACCAGACTCTACATTTATTCTACGGCTTCAGACCAACACGGCTGATCACCGGAACCCTGTGAGGTCGGCGGGGCCGTGAGAGCTTTCGAGAACTGCTCTTTCCAGAACAGCTCTGAGAGAACTTCTGATTGACCCAAGGTCAAGCCAGCCGCTGCATGTGGAGGAGTGGGGAATCAGAATCTGTGGTCCTAACCACTACACCAAACCGACTCTCTCAAGAGTTTCGGAATAGGAGCTGGAAAGCCCGGGTTCCAAACCGCACTGAGCCCTGAAACTCACCGAGTGACTTTGGACTGGCACCCTCTCTCGCAGCCTAAACTCCGGGCTCCTCCAGATTTTTTTCCAGCCTGTGGGCACCTTTGGAACTCTGACATAGCTGACTGGGCACAGCCCCAAAATGGACGCCGTGGCTTCCCTTCAGGGACACAAGTCAGGATAGCCTCATGCTGTGCGGGCAGCTGATGCCAAAGTAACTTTAAAAGAAAATCCGCCTAGCCAATTCAATCTCCAGTGATCAAGCAGAAGGCACTGTCCGCTTCCTGAAAACCACTGGGTGGGCATGAAGAAAGGTGTCAGCAGGTACCCTGACGCCCACAGGCGCCACGTTGGGGACCTCCGGCCTAACCTATCCCAAAGGAGTGTTATATGCGAGACCGAAGGGCAGGCTCAAATTGTAGAGGCAGATCTTTTCTTGTGTGATTGGCAAGGATGGCACTGCAGGTACAACAGGTTCCAGGGCCGCCTCTTCCCGTTTTAGAAACTCAGCGACGTTAATCTTCCCAGCCGAGGCAAAACATTTCAGCGCCGCGAGCCAAGATGCTTCCCAGATTTCACTTGCCCTTTTCCACACACACTCAGAGCAGTAAATATAGGTCACGCTGTGGCCCACAGGCTGGATCGCGGCCAATCAGCGGAGACTCGACTGCCCGAACTTGCTGAGAAGCACAAATGCATCGTGTTTCTACAACTCACAGCGCGTGATTCACATGTGTGAGCCCCCGGGCAGGGCAAAAAGCTCGCTCACACTCTCCACACTTCCGTGGCTTCTGATTGAAAGGCGGCCGCCGCAGAGTCCGGTGCCAACAAGTCACCGTGCCGGCACCAAGACCTGGGGCTGAGAGAAGTTTTGCCTCGCCCGCAGCACACACGAGCCAAGTCAGTTGTGCATGATCTGTGTTGGCGTCTTCGTCGCCAGCGTTCGCTTCTGTTGCTTGTGGCTCTTGTGGGAAGGTAGGCCGACGGTGCTGAGCGCTCAGCGTCTGTTTTAAGTGGGAGAGCGGGCTCTGTCGGAAGAATCAGAGCTTGGAAAAGCCAGCCTCTGGGAAAAGGCTCTGTAGAGGAAGGGTGAAGACGACGATCGGGGGCCTGGAGACCAACCCGCACGAGGAACGTCTGAGGGACTTGGAAACGTCCAGTTTGGAGAAGAGGAGGTGTGGGGGGGACATGATCAGTGCTCCCTCTAAGCTGTGGAGTCTTGGGAGCATACATTCTACTTTGTGAGCGACTGGGATTAAAGTTGCCAGTGAGCGATTTGACTGCTGCAGAAATTAGTTTGCTCTGGAGCCCTCCTTCCTGAGCGAATACAAAAAATTTGTGAGCCAGGGACTAGAACACTGAGCTATCTCACACTAACTCAGCTTAGAGGGAACACTGCCACCGACGAATGCTCCCTCTAAGCTGTGGAGACTCAAACTTTGTTCTGCTGCTTCAGGCCAACAGGGCTGACCCGCCTGAATTTTTCTTCTAAGTTAAAGAGCCCGCCTTAGAATAAGATCAGCTAGTGCCTGGACAGAGGAAGTGTGTGCTCACCCTTTTCTTTGGGGATCCCTTGATCAATCTGTTGCTGAGCTGAGTATGTGCGTGGGTGTTTTTCTTCTTAATAAATGCTTTATAATTACTGATGTCGGCAGTTGTTCTCTGCACCATATAAACTTCCAGCATTTGAGCATGCGATTTAAAACGGGTGCCAGGGGATGGGGGGGGGGGGCAAGTCTGTCAGCAAACTGCCAATTCAAGTGCCGTAATCAGTGTCCCCCCCCCCAACAGCCAAAATACCAGGTAGCAGGAAACACCTGCATGAGGCCATAATGCGACAACACAGGAAAAGACAAAGAAGAGGAGATTGGTTTTATACCCCGCCCTTTGCTACCCGAAGGAGTCTCAGAGCGGTTTACGAACTCCTTCCCCTCCCCACGACAGACACCCTGTGAGGTAGGTGGGGCTGAGAGAGCTCTTCCAAGGACTGCTCCTGAGAGAACAGCTCTGAGAGAACTTGTGACTGACTCAAGGTCACACCAGCAGCTGCCATGTGGAGGGGTAGGGAGTCAAACCCGGTTCTCCCAGATTAGAGTCTGCGCTCTTAACCACTACATCAAACTGGCTCTCAAAGGACGCTGGTCTGTGCGGCTGTTCTGCCAGAGGCTGGTCCCTCTAGAGGACCTGTGTGGAACATGAAGGCCTCTATTTAAAACTCTGGGGTGCCTTAAGGGTGGTGTGAGACCTATCCAAGGTCTCAGAGGCCAGCAGCACTCTCCAATGAAAACACCGGCCCTTCTGCCTTAATAGGGCGTCTTCTACGCCTCTCTTCTTCGACCCGTGCTCTTCTCGCTAGACACTAAATAACCCAGAGGCTGAACTCTTCTGTGGCCTGCTTATAGAAAAGAGTTCACAGCCGTTCAGAGCAGGCAGTTTGACGCCCTTCACCGGGCAGGGCAGCGGACCATCTGATCGATATGGCGGGCTTCACATCTGCTGATTAATAGATGAAGGCCTTTTTCCAAGGGGAGGGGGGGATGCTTGTACGAGCTCAGCACTTTTCCCCCCTTGCTTCCTGTGCTGTGCTTTTACGGAGGAAGTTATTGATTTCGAAACAAGGACAGCGTTCCAGACGACGATACACGAATAATACAGATTATGACACATATCCCAGAAATGCACTGCGTCAAGATTTGATTTAGCATCCTGATCGGACTCTCATTTGCTGGAGGACCATTTTGAGGTCAGCAAGGGGTGAGGGGTCAGGGTCTTCCCCCACCCCTGCCAGCAAGGACGTGTGTGTCTGATTGCAGCTTGATCTCTATTAGTACAGTTTCGGGGAAAGAGTGCGGCATTATGGCTGTGAAAATGATGGTACTTGGGAGGGGAATGCTTGGTGTTGTGGTTAAGAGTGCGGACTCTAATATGGGAGAACCGGGTTTGATTCCTCACTCCTCCACATGCAGCTGCTGGTGTGACCTTGGGTCAGACCCAAGTTCTTTCAGAGCTGTTCTCTCAAGGGCAGTTCTCGAGAGAGCTCTCTCAGCCCCACCTACCTCACAGGATATCTGTTGTGGGGAGGGAAAGCGAAAGGAGACTGTAAACCACTCTGAGGGAAGGGCAGGTGTCATGATCTGGGCTGTGCCACCAGAGGCCTACTAGGCCCAGGGAGCCTAGCTAGCAGTAAGGGAGGCTGGGCCTACAAACCCCAGAAAGCCTTTGGAAGTTTTGGTGCCGATTTTGGCCAATAGGGAAGAAGAGGGCTGGGGAATAAAAGAACTGGTGCAAGAGGAAAAGGCTGTTCTTCTTCCCAGGGAGCAGGGCCAGAAGAGAGGCTGCTGTGGGGAAGAAACTCTCATCCTGAGGGAAGGGTGAGTAGTCTAAGGCCACTTGAGATAGTGAGCTAGGGACAGTATATATTTAGACGCGTTAGGGCATTTGATTTCTTTTCTTTTCACCCACTTACTGTTATTATTCCTGCACCTTGTTTGTTTGACCTCCTGTAAAAATAAACCTTTTTCTTGTTGTACTCTGCCTGGTCCTCACGCCTATTATTCAGCCAAAAGGGAGGTCTGAAGGTCTTGGGAGGGTCCTCTGGGCCTTCTCAAGGAATCCTAAATTCAGAGTGGTGGCAGCGTCAGGTGACACCCCACCTGAGCCATGACAGCAGGGTATAAATCCAATCTCCTCTTCTTCTCGTTTTTACTTCTTGTTCCCTTTAGTGGGGGGAGGGGGAAATGAAGCTTTTATAAATGCCAGGATGTCTCAGTATATGAATAATAATGTTGCCGCGGGAAGCAAGAAGGTATTTCCCACCCTGTCCACAGACAGCCCAAGGACATGTATACCGATGAGGGTTTAAACAAGTTTTATTTTACTGTTTTAAGGGGAGAGGGGAAGAAAAAGTATTAAATGGTATAAAATAAGAAACGCGCCCTCTTTCCGACCTGCCAAAGCAAACCGGTTTGGCATAACTCGCAATACGAGAACACAGTTGACTCTGTGCTCAAGTGGGGCTTGCGTCAAAGGCCTGCGTTTCCAGATCTGAGTTTTTTGTAACGCGGCAACACGCTCCCTCCTGGCAGGCGCACCGCCAAGCAGCTTACTGGTGTGAACGCAGACACTTGAGAGGGAAAAAAAAAGACACAATCAAGGGAATAAGTTTGTTTCTCGTGTCACCCGTCAAGCCCCCAGCGTCCCCATGCAGATCGTCCTTCCATCAGCCGCCCGGTGACGTTTACACCGGCTTGTAGTCCAGCTTCGACTCCAGCTTCTTGGAATCCGCCACTTTCCGCACTGCCTTCATGAAGTCCTCCTGGACCACAAAGTCGTGGTCTGCTCGGATAGCAAACATCCCTGCAAGGACAGAGAAGGGGCCGTCTGGGGTTTTGCCTTCAGTTCTAACAAGCTTTGCAGCACTGTCGCAGTCCTGGACCTCAGAAGGGCAAGGCTTCTTTTAACTGCATAATGGCCACTGGAATTTCATGGCCATGCCTGGCTCCTTCCGTAGCCAGCTGCTGAAACGCCTGGCTGCTTCCCGAAAGGGCTACCCTGGGTGGGGTGGTGGGTGCAGGCACGGTTTTCCCCAACTGCCTGGTGATGTACTCACAGGCCATGTTTCCGTACTGGCACCCAGGAGATCCACAGGGCTGAATCCTGCAGACCCATTCTGCTAGTGAAAGGGGGCGCGACGAAGCAAGCCGGTGGGGTGCCTCTGAGCACATCCTTAGGATGGATTCCCGCCTACCCAGCCCAGCGGAAGGAGGGAGGGCGGTCAGGGAGAGAAAAAGGCGGCAGCTGGGGTCAGGATGATGCAGGGCTTTTGGTGGGGGCGGGAGGGCCGGGCGCAGTTCGTCACCCAGAAAATTGGCCCACCCTAGGCGAATGTCTAGTTTGCCTAGTGAGTGGGCTGGGCCTGTACAGGGGTCCCTAATACAGTGCCCGTGGGCACCACGGCACCTACCGACCCCTTTCTTGGCACCCACAAAGCATTTTTGAAACTTGGGTGGGGGCTCTTACCCAGCAGGGCTTCTGATTGGCTACGCAAATCAGAACAGCATTGTTTTAGAGGCAGCTGCCACCACAGTGCTTGTTTTACTCTCTCGCACTGCTCTTTCCCAGAGTGTTTTTTAATTACCCCTCTTCTCCCTGACACTTGGGGTCCCTCTGGCTGTGGCCCTGCTTGGCTGTGGCCCATCGCCCTGTGAACACGTGGATTCCAAAGACGCCCACAGGTTCAAACAGGAGGGGGACGCCTGCTCTGTTACAAGATCCCCCCCCCAAAGGGAAACCGGATCTACATGACCCAAACCCACTAATTGCTAAGTTGCTGTCTAAAGAGCACTTATCATACAGGAACGGGGTGCCTGGGGTGGAGAGAGTTGACAAAGAGACATTTCTCTCCCTCTCCCGAAAAACTGGGACTCGAGGGCATCCAAGGAAGCTGATGAGCAGTAGGTCCAGGGCGGACAAAAGGAAATACTACATTACACAGAGAGTGATTAAAATGTAGTATTCGATGCCAGAAAGGGTGTGGTGATGGCCACAGGAATAAACAGCTTTAAAATGGGATCAGATAGATTCATGGAGAATAAGTCTATATAAAAAAAAAAATTACGGAAAACAGGAGAGCATCGCAGTCACATCCTGCTCCTTACCTGCTTCAGTACAGACATTTCTCAGATCGGCGCCGTTAAAACCATCAGACAGCTTCACAATTGCTTCGTAATCTGTTGACAAAAGGAAGGACCGCCGGTTAATCAGAGCGGCACGCTTCAAACGGCAAGCGGCGCCTGTGGCAAAAACTGTAACGCGGGGCTTGGACCCCCGGATCTGCGAGATGGTCTCTCCCCCCTGTGCTCCGCCACGACGGCTTCACTCATCCAAGCAGGGTCCTTCTGAAGGCGCCACTGTGCGAATGGGCAAAATCAACAAGTGCCCGTACGCGTGGCCTTCTCCGTTGTGGCCCCCACCTTGTGGAATGGCCTCCCCGAGGAGATCAGGAGGGCTCCCCCTGTTCCTGGCTTTCTGCAGACTATGCAAAACCGAATTATTCGAGAGGGCTTTTCTACACAGGCATCAGGGCAGCACTGTCCAAAAGGCTTCACAAAGCACCATGGACAAATGATTAGGAACTGTGGTCTATACCACTCTGCATAGCTTGCTATGGGTTGGCTCCCATTGTGTCATTGCATCATTTAATGCAGGGGTGTCGAACTCCTTTCTTACGCCGGCCGGATCTGACATAAATGAGACCTTGTTGGGCCAGGCCATGTGTGTCATAAAATGTAATGCTAGGCAGGGGTCATTTCCTGCAGGAGCGCACAGGAGCGGAGCTCCGGCAGTAAAGAGCCCAGGGGGCGGGTACATGCAACAAGCCCCACCCCCTGCTCCCAGCAGCCCTCAGTCAGAGCAAGAAGCAGCCAGGTAAGTTACAGAGCCTCCCCCCAGCCCTCCGGTCCAAAACAGTCCAGTGGCACCTTTAAGACCAAGTTTTATTCAGGTACAAGCTCTCCCTCCTCTGCGAGGACAGATCTGCACATTCTCCCCCCCCCCAATAGTTAGCAATCCACAACAGTCCAGTGAAGCCTGAGCGGTGGGTGTAGCCTTCTGACACACGTCCGGTGATGTCAGGGGGTGTGGCATATGCAAATGAGTTATGCTAATGAGCACCTGCACCTCTTTTTCTACAAAATGACCCCTGACAGGTAGATTTTTTTTACTTAAAATAAAAAAACATGCTTAAAACATTAGTTCTGTAAGCTGCAAACCTACTTTTGATTTACTGACGTTCCCCACAGAAATCTCATGCTCAGAGTTCTGAGTCTAGGGCCCAGGTTAAAACATGAAGTGGCTGAGCGATTGAGAGAGTCTGGCGAAGCAAGCTATGATGCAGCAGCAGAACTGGAAGCAGAAGATGGCCAGTTCCACTGCGGGCCTGATGGAAGCCCGCCGGGGGCCTGATCCGGCCCCCCGGGCTGCATGTTTGACACCCCTGATTTAATGTCTCATGTTAACTCTTGTATGCTTTGCTTTGGTTCTTATTTATTTTTGAAATTTATAGTCTGCCCTCCCTGCGGATCACAGCAAGTTCGGCCCATTTGGCAACACAAACATAATAATCAATCAAAACAGCATTTAAAAACAATCTGCACTGATACTGGTGCCGCTGGACTCTGAGTCTGCTCAACCCGGGCTGCATAGAGGTGGCAACTTCAGCAGGGGAGGACGAACTTGTTTTTCCTGGACGCCCACTGCCTCGGCCAAAGGCCTGGCGGAACAGCTCCATTTTGCAGGCCCTGCGGAACGGCAAAAGATACCGCAGGGCCGTGATCCCACGCCGGGAGCACGTTCCGCCAGAGCAGAAAAAGCCCCAGCCCTGGTCGGGGCTAAACGGGTGGCCCACAGGCCACGGACAAGCAGCAGATCTTGCTCTATGACCCATATCCTATGTCACTGGTTACTGACTGTCTCAGCTTGTCAACTGTCTTGACTCTTGCTGTGTAAACCACCTTAAGATGCAGGGAGAAAATAAATAACTATGGGATGCTAAACAAATGTGTTTCGAGCATGCAGAGTGACTCGTAGCCAGCTCCCAAATGAGGTCCAAGGTAGTGTTCCTTGGCCACGCAGGGTCTGATCAGACAAGCGGGGAATGGAGCTTGCCAGCTTTTTTATATGAATTACTGTCTCCTGCCAACAACCCAAGCCATCGGGGGATAAAGGGCAAGGCCTGAACCCGGGAGATGTGGGTTCAAACCTTGGCTGAGCCCAGGAAGCAACTCTGGGTCGCTTGGGACCTATGCTCACTCCAAGCTGTGGAGTCCTGTGAGTGAAAACTCCGCTGTGTGAACTCATGGCACCAAGGTTGTGAGCGAGCAGATTTGGCCACTGCATAAATTAGTTTGCTCTGGAGCCATCCTTCCTGAGTGAAGACAAAAATCTGTGAGCCGGAGCAGGGGTCATTTCCTGCAGGAGCACACAGGAGCGGAGCTCCAGCAGTAAGAAGCCCAGGGGGCGGGCACATGCAACAAGCCCCGCTCCCTGCTCCCAGCAGCCCTCAGTCAGGCCACGAGGAGCAAGCAGCCAGGTAAGTTGCACAGCCTCCCCCTCCCCCAGCCCGCCTTCAGGTACAAGCTCTCCCTCCTGTGAGGGCAGATCTGCACGTTTTTTCCCCCCCCCCCCGCCACAGCTAGCAATCCAAAACAGTCCAGTGGCACCTTTAAGACCAAGTTTTATTCCGGTACAAGCTCTCCCTCCTCTGTGAGGACAGATCTGCACATTCCCCCCCCCCAATAGCTAGCAATCCAAAACAGTCTAGTGGAGCCTGAGTGGTGGGTGTTGCCTTCTGACACACTTCCGGTGATGTCAGAGGGTGTGGCATATGCAAACGAGTTATGCTAATATATGTAAGCCACCCTGAGCCCGCGTGCGGGGAGGGCAGGGTATAAATGAAATAAATAAATAAATGAGCTCCTGCACCTCTTTTTCTACGAAATGACCCCTGAGCCGGAGGCTTAAAAAACTGTGATCTGGCTCACGCTAGCTCAGCTTAGAGGGGACACTGCCCTGGACGATTCACGCACACTCAGCCGAACCGATCTGGTCGGGCTCTCGAGAGGACAGACAGGGATAACGTGGGCGCCTTGCCTCACTCGTTAATGGCATCTGTATACTGCCCGCCTTCCCACCTCAAAGTGCCTTCCAAACATTAGATCAATACAAAAGGCTTTTAAATCCGTTCTGAATCTAAAGGAGATCCACAGAGCAAGCAGAGAGCTCACTGAGCTCGTAAATATGTCAAAAGGCTCTCCCGGAGCAAAACCCCTTCGCAGACTCCCCTAAAGGACAGCAGAGACGGCCGCACCTCAAGGGGGAGGGGCCAGGGGATCCGTTCCACCCCCAGCATCTCCAGTGAAAACCATCAGGTCACAGAGAATCATAGAGCTGGAAGGGACCTCCAGGGACCTCTAGTCCAACCCCCTGCATAAGGCAGGAAATTCACAAATCCCCCCCCCCCACCTGCAGTGACCTCCGCTCCACGCCCAGAAGATGAGAAAAAACCTCCAGGATCCTCGGCCAAACTGGCCTGGAGAAAGACTGCTTCCTGACCCCAAAGTGGCGATCGGCATTTCCCTGGGTGTGTAAGAAAGGGCCAGGAGAATTAAGCACTGATGCAACCCTTCCTGCCCTCCCTTCTCGTGATCCTAAACAACCTATATATGCTAGTGGTCTTCAGCCTTTCCAGCCCAGAAACCCACTGTGCATGGGACCTATTGTGCGTTAGGAAGTCATGTGACAGGACAAAGGTGAACTCAGGGTCACGACCCCGCTCTCACTGACCGGAAGTTCTTCCTAAGGTTTAGCCAAAAACTCTTCTGATTTAATGTCAACCCCTTGGTTCTGGTCCGACCTTCCGGGGCAACAGAAAACGACGCCTCACCATCCTCTAGATGAGACAGCCTTTCAAGTAACGTGAAAGACCTTCACCCGAGACCCTGGACAGCAGCTGCTAGCCTGAGTGGATAATACTGACTTGGATGGATCAAGGGCATTAGGCAGCTTCATGTGTTCTTCGAGCATTATCTGGGGAGGGGCTGTGGCTCAGTGGAAGAGCCTCTGCTTGGCATGCAGGAGGTCCCAGGTTCAATCCCCGGCATCTCCAGTAGGAAGGACTAGACAGCAGGTGGGACCCTGGAGGGCTGTAAAGAAGGGCTGTGGCTCAGTGGAAGAGCCTCTGCTCGGCATGCAGAAGGCCCCAGGTTCAATCCCCAGCATCTCCAGCTAAAAGGACCAGGCAGGAGGTGATGGGAAAGACCTCTGCCTGAGACCCTGGAGAGCTGTAAAGAGGGGCTGTGGCTCAGTAGCAGAGCCTCTGCTTGGCGCACAGAAGGTCCCAGGTTCAATCCCTGGCATCTCCAGCTAAAAGGACCAGGCAGGAGGTGATGGGAAAGACCTCTGCCTGAGACCCTGGAGAGCTATAAAGAGGGGCTGTGGCTCAGTGGCAGAGCCTCTGCTTGGCGCACAGAAGGTCCCAGGTTCAATCCCTGGCATCTCCAGTTAAAAACGACCCGGCAGGAGGTGATGGGAAAGGCCTTTCTCTGTCTGAGACCCGGGAGAGCGGCTGCCAGTCTTAGACAAGACTGACTTTGATGGACCGAGGGTCTGATTCAGTAGAAGGCAGCTTCATGCGTGTGTGAGAGGCAGCCTTGCAGGCCCTTGGGGGGAAAGCCCATGAAAAAATGCCATCATGAAATGCACTTTTTTAAATCGACGGATGCAATTGTCAAAGAATAAAATGTGGTATATTGAACTGAGGCTCAGCGAAAGCTAGGAACAGAATTATACCCAAAAGAAGCTTGTGTAAAACCGATAGGAGTCCCCCTACTCTCCTCTGGAGACAGCGATCTACTAAGGCACATTACTTGGGCAGCAAACGCCAACCTCCCTCTGCTCAGACGGTGTTTGCAAAGTCCCCGGGGCGCACTTACCTATTTCGCCATGTTTCGTTATAGGCCCAGCGTGAATCTTCAGTATGTCTAATCTGGCCTGCTCGTTTGGCAAGTCAATATCTAAAAGGAGAGGGAGGGAAAAGCTTTGTTAATGTGAGACAGGGGAAAGGGAAAGAAAGCTACAGCACGGAATCTAGAAACTCTACTCACGAATTTTCCTGTCCAGTCTTCCAGGACGCAACAACGCCGGATCCAGAGTATCGGGCCTGTTGGTAGCCATTATCATCTTAACTCTGTGCAGAGTGTCAAATCCGTCCATCTGATTCAACAACTGAAAGAGGGTGCAAAGAACCCAAATCTTAAAAGGCTTTAAACCAATTCCGACTTTTGTCCGTTTCAGAGTGCCCATCAACCAACCGGTGGGGAATTACAGCTAATACCATCCTATAATCGTCCCAAACCCATAGAACCTGGACACGGATAAATGAAGACAGATCTCTTGACAGCCGCATCTTTACTTTGAAACAGCAGCTATGGAGGTTCTAGCTGTCACCAGTGTTCCCTCTAAGCTGAGTTAGTGTGAGCTAGCTCACAGGTTTTTAGCCTCCAGCTCACACATTTCTGTCTTAGCTCAGGAAGGAGGGCTCCAGAGCAAACTAATTCATGCAGTAGCCCAATCACTTGCTCACAACTTTAATGCCAGCAGCTCACAAAGTAGAATTTTTGCTCACAAGCCTCCACAGCTTAGAGGAAACTTTGGCTGTCACACCCATGAAGTTACACGGAGAACAAGAAAAAACTGTGAAAAAGGAAGAGTGTAATTACAATCATCTTAGCCTATTGCAGGTTCTACTATACAGTACAGCTGTTACGAACATTGAAAATCTTCCTTGATAATTGTGAGACGTCACCAGTGGATATGAATCACTGAGAGACATTTTTTGTCCTACATCTTTGTTCAGAAGAAGATCTTCCTTCGAAACGGCAAGACATTCCGGAGATCACCGTCAATATATTTTTCTATGATTATGTATGTTATTTTTGTTCACTTTTCTTGTTGTTCAGTCGCACAGTCCAGTCCGACTCTCCGCGACCCCATGGACCAGTCCCCGCCAGGCCTTCCGGTCTTCCGCCGTCCTCTGAAGTTGGCTCAATTTCATGTTCGTTGCATCGATGACACTGTCTAACCATCTCATCCTTTGCCGTCCCCGTCTTCTTTGACCTTCAATCTTTCCCAGCATCAGGGTCTTCTCCAGGGAGTGCTCCCTTCTCATTGGGTGGCCAAAGTATTTCAGCTTCAGTTTCATTATATGGCCTTCCAGGGAACAGTCAGGGTTGATTTCTTTTAGGATTGACTGATTTGTTCTTCTTGCAGTCCAAGGGACTCTCAAGAGTCTCCTCCAGCACCATAGTTCAAAAGAATCTATTCTTCGGCGCTCGGCCTTCCTTATAGTCCAACTCTCGCAGCCATACATGACTACTGGGAATACCATTGCTTTTCTTTTCTATGATTTCTATGATTTTCACTTTTCTATGATTCTTTAAAGACATATGTTAAGCGTCACTTTTTCCACAGTTTTTCTTGTTCTCCGTATTATCTCATTACTGTGCCAATCCATTGTTACTACACTCATGAAGTTGCCATACAGAAGTAGGTTCCCATCTCCTGTTTTCCTCTACCCTAAGGAGTCTCAAAGTGCCTTACGACCCCTTTTCCCTTTCTCTCCCCACAACAGGCACCTTGTGATGTAGGTGAGGATGAGAGAGCTCTGAAAGAACAGTTCCTGGCCCAAGGTCACCCAGCAGGCTTCATGTGAAGGGGTGGGGAATCAAGCTCGGTTTAGTGGAGTGGCTAAGTGCACAGACTCTGATCTGGGAGAACCGGGTTTGATTCCCCACTCCTCCACATGCAGCTGCTGGTCTGACCTTGGGTCAGTCACAACTTCCTTCAGAGCTGTTCTCCCGAGGGCAGTTCTCAGGAGAGCTCTGTCAGCCCCACCTACCTCACAGGGTGTCTGTTGTGGGAAGAGAAAGGGATTCTAAGCCGTTCTGAGACTCCTTTGGGTAGTGAAGAGTGGGGTATAAATCCAATCTCTTCTCCAGATTAGAGTCCACTGCTCTTAACCACTGTGCCATGCTGGCTCTCAATGGTATAATGACCCATTGGCCCATCAAGGTCAGTCTTGTCTACTCAGACTGGCAGCTGCTCTCTCCAGGGTCTCAGGCAGAGAGGCCTTTCCCATCACCTCCTGCCAAGTCCTTTTTAACTGGAGATGCCAGGGATTGAACCTGGGACCTTCTGTGCGCGAAGCAGAGGCTCTTCTGAGCTGCAGCCCCTCTTTACACCTCTCCAGGGTCTCAGGCTGAGGTCTTTCCCATCACTTACTGCCTGGTCCTTTCAACTGGAGATGCCGGGGATCAAACCTGGGACCTTCTGCATGCCAAGCAGAGGCTCTTCCACTGAGCCACAGCCCCTCTTTACAGCTCTCCAGGGTCTCAGGCTGAGATCTTTCCCATTACTTACTGCCTGGTCCTTTCAACTGGAGATGCCGGGGATTGAACCTGGGACCTTCTGCATGCCAAGCAGAGGCTCTTCCACTGAGCCACAGCCCCTCTTTACACCTCTCCAGGATCTCAGGCTGAGGTCTTTCCCATCACTTACTACCTGGTTCTTTCAACTATAGATGCCGGGGATTGAACCTGGGACCTTCTGCATGCCAAGCAGAGGCTCTGCCACTGAGCCACAGCCCCTCTTTACAGCTCTCCAGGATCTCAGGCTGAGGTCTTTCCCATCACTTACTACCTGATGCTTTAACCGGAGATGCCAGGGATTGAAGCTGGGACCTTCTGCATGCCAAGCAGAGGCTCCGCCACTAAGCCACAGCCCCTCCCTAGCTGTAGAGACAGGGGCTGGTTCTTATTATCAAAGCAGGCACGTAACAATTGCTCCACCTGCAGAGCCTCTTATCAATGACAAACCTCCACCTTCCAGGTGGCACAGTGACAAGATCCACGTGGCAGCCGCGGGTCCTTTAGACATTCATCAACCCCTGCACAACTGCGCGATTGCTCATGGGCAAACCAGAGACGCCAGCGATCGTAGGCAAGGAGTTCAGAACCTTGCAGAATTTATTCCCTTTATTTAAAATTCTGCCTTCTCTTGCTGTGACTCGAGGCAGATCACAGGATGTAGAGCAGGGCAATCAGACATCGTGAAACAACCAATGAACAATGCAACAGGGCTAGGGTTATAGAACAGAGGGGAGGGGCCGTGGCTCAGTTGCAGAGCATCTGCTTGGCATGCAGAAGACCCCAGGTTCAATCCCCGGCATCTCCAGTTGAAAGGACCAGGCAGGAGGTGATGGGAAAGACCTCAGTCTGAGACCCTGGAGAGCTGTAAAGAGGGTCTGTGGCTCAGTGGTAGAGCCTCTGCTTGGCATGCAGGAGGTCCCAGGTTCAATACCCGACATCTCCAGTTAAAAAGGACCAGGCAGGAGGTGATGTAGAAGACCTCCACCTGAGACCCTGGAGAGCTGTAAAGAGGGGCCGTGGCTCAGTGGTAGAGCATCTGCTTAGCATGCAGAAGGCCCAGGTTCAATCCCCAGCATCTCCAGTTGAAAGGACCAGGGAGGAGGGGATGGGAAAGACCTCCGCCCGAGACCCTGGAGAGCTGTAAAGAGGGGCCGTGGCTCAGAGGTAGAGCATCTGCTTAGCATGCAGAAGGCCCAGGTTCAATCCCCGGCATCTCCAGTTGAAAGGACCAGGGAGGAGGGGATGGGAAAGACCTCCGCCCGAGACCCTGGAGATCTGTAAAGAGGGGCCGTGGCTCAGTGGTAGAGCATCTGCTTAGCATGCAGAAGGCCCAGGTTCAATCCCCGGCATCTCCAGTTGAAAGGACCAGGCAGGAGGTGATGGGAAAGACCTCCGCCTGAGACCCTGGAGAGCTGTAAAGAGGGGCCGTGGCTCAGTGGCAGAGCATCTGCTTGGCATGCAGAAGGCCCCAGGTTCAATCCCCAGCATCTTTAGTTGAAAGGACCAGGCAGGAGGTGATGTGGAAGACCTCTGCCTGAGACCCTGGAGAGCAGCTGCCAGTCTGAGTAGACAGTACTGACGGATAGATGCATGGTCTGATTCAGTATAAGGCAATGTCATATGTACAAAGGCATAAATGTATGGTATGCAGAAGGTGCCAGATTCCATCCCCGGCATCTCCAGTTTAAAAGGACCAGGTAATAGGTGACGTGAAAGACCTCAGCCTGAGACCCCGGGGAGCAGCTGCCAGTCTCAGTAGACTGCCTTTGATGGGTGCACGGTCTGATTCAGTGTAAGGCAATGTCATGTGTACAAAGACATAAATGTGTGGCATGCAGGCACCGGAGTGTTCATGAGCGTTCGTGTGTTCAACATGAGCAAACAATGAAGGCTATTTCTAGTTATTTGCTTCCTTTAGAGTTAGGATATTTACTTTCTAAGCACCCAAAACTCTTATCTCTGCTGTCAAACCAGCATAGCTGACCACTTGCCACACATATGCCGTCCATCTTTGATGTCTGGAAGGCAGAACAAGATGCAGAGACATCCTGGTTTTTGCTGCTTACTGAGGAGAGCTGCGGTGGCTCAAGTGGTTAAGATGCTGAACTGCAGGCTGCGGAAGGTCAGTAGTTCAGTAGTTCGAGACCCGAGTTGCCGCATGACGGAGTTGCCGCATGACGGAGTGAGCTCCCGTCTCTAGTTTCAGCTCCTGCCAACCTAGCAGTTCGAAAGCAAGAAATTGCCCAGGTAGATAAATAGGTACCACTTCGGTGGGAAGGGAACAGCGTTCCGTGCGCCTTGGTGTTTAGGCATGCTGGCCACATGACCACGGAAACGTCTTCGGACAGCGCTGGCTCTTCGGCTTTGAAACGGAGATGAGCACCGCAACCCTAGAGTCGGATTCGACTGGCTATCGAGCAAGGGAACCTTTATCTTTACCTTTAAGGAGAGGAAAATTAGAGGCCAACCCCCAGCCAGGGAAACGCTACCTCCATTAGAGTTCTCTGGATTTCTCTGTCAGCTGAAGTTCCCTCGGAAAAACGACGGCCACCTAAGAGAAAAATCAGAAAGCCATCGGTGGGGTGGACAGAAAGTTGACAAAGAGAAATTTTTCTCCCTCTCCCAAAAGACTAGAACTGGAGGGCATCCAATAAAGCTGATGGGCAGTAGGTTCAGGACAGAGAAAAGGAAATACTTCTTTACACAGAGTGATTAAAATGCAGGATTTGTTGCCAGAGGATGTGGTGACGGCCACAGGAATAATAATAATAAGAGATTGGATTTAGACCCTGCCCTTCACTCAGAGTCTCAGAGCGGCTCACAAACTCTTTTCCCTTCCCCTCCCCACAACAGCACCCTGTGAGGTAGGTGGGGACGAGAGAGCTCTTTCAAGGACTGCCCTTGAGAGAATGACTCTGAGAGAACTACGGCTTGCCCAAGGTCATCCAACAGCCTCAAGCGGAGGAGTGGGGAATCAAACCCGGTTCTCCCAGATTAGAGTCCCCGCACTTAACCACGACACCAAACAGCTTTCAAAGATAGATTCAGGTGAGTAACTGTGTTGGTCTGAGGCAGCAGAACAACGTTTGAGTCCAGTGGCACCTTTAAGACCAACACAGTTTTATTCAAGGTATTAAACTTTCTTTCTTTCTTTTTTTTTGAGCCCCCGGAGGGGATTTTTTTATTATTTTTTATATAAGACTACAAAACTATCACAGAAAAAAAAGGGAAGGGTAACTACATATACAGGATAAAGCAAAGAAACCCACCACTAACTAAAAACCCAAGAGACGAGATCTTCACTAGCTTAGTAACAAATTAAACTTCATTATTAACTGAGTCAAACATTTACACTGCTTTTTTCTTTTTCTTTAACTCTTAAACTTATCTGTCTAAGAACAGTACCCCCAATCATCCCCACTAAAATTTTTTCTCAAAGGCACAATTCAGAGTCCTTCAGCCTTCACTTCTCCTTTCCTCGTCTCTCCCGCAGCTTATAAGGACTTTTTGGGGCAGCTGCCCCAAGGTATTAAACTTTCATGTGCATGCATGCTTGTTCAGATACAGATATCTGAGGAAGTGTGCTTACACGCGAAAAATTATACCTTGAATAAAATTCTGTTGGTCTTAAAGGTGCCACTGAGCTTTAAACCAGGATTAGATAGCTTCATGGAGGATAAGTCTATCAGTGACTACCAGCCATGGTGACTGAGGGGAACCTCCACATTCAGAGGCAGTCAACCTCTGAATCCCAGAGCCAGGAGGCAGCATCAGGGGAGGGCCTCGGCCTCTCTGCCATGTGGTTGGCCTGGCCTCTGTGTGAGACGGGGTGCTAGTCACCAGGGAGGCCTTACCGATGGCATCGATTTCATCCATGAAAATGATGCACGGCTGATGGTCCCTGGCATAGTTGAACATCTCCCGGATCAGCCGAGCGCTTTCCCCGATGTACTTGTCCACGATGGAACTGGACACCACCTGCGGGAAGCAATGGGGTCATGTGGACGGCAGCCAATCACGTTTCCGTTCACTTCCCAGAAAAACCTGATTCAGTGGGGGGTTTTTACCTTTAAGAAATTGCAGTCTAGCTGGCTGGCAACAGCTCTGGCCAGGAGAGTTTTCCCTGTACCTGGAAGGAGGACGCACGGAAGACGGCAAAATGAGAGGTGCACAACGGAGAAACGAGCGCGAGAACCGGAGGAGTGCAACGGGACTAAGGACTGGACCTGAGGCCGCCTGCACGCGGCGCCAGGGGCTCCGTGACTGAGGTGCGCTAACAGGCTGCCAGTGCCGAGCCACTGGGGTATTGAATTTGGGCAAGTGTAGAGATGGGCAAAAGGGACACTTCCGGAAAGACACTGACCTGGCGGGCCGTACAGCAAGCAGCCTTTGGGTGGGATGATCCCCACCCGCTGGAACAGTTCCGGATTTGTCAGAGGCAGTTCGATAACCTGCAAGGCAAAGAAGCAAAATGTTGATTCACATAAGAGCATCAGAGAAGCCCATGTTGGATCACGCCAGTGGCCCATCCAGTCCCAACACTCTTGTGTCACACGGTGGCCAGAAATACCAGGGGACCTCAGGAGGTCCAGCAGTGGGGCCAGGACACTAGGAGCCCCCCCCCACTGTTGACCCCCCCCCAAGCACCAAGAAGACAGAGCATCACCTGCCCCAGATCGAGAGTTCCTCTCTATGCCTTGTGGCTGATAGCCACTGATGGACCTCTGCTTTTAAGAACATAAGAGAAGCCAATGTTGGGTCTGGCCAATGGGCCATCCAGTCCAACACTCTTGTGTCACAAGGTGGCCAGAAATACCAAGTGCCCTCAGGAGGTCCTGCAGTGGGGCCAGGACACTAGGAGCCCCCTTCCACCATTGACCCCCCCCCAAGCACCAAGAATACAAAGCATCACCTGCCCCAGACATAAGAACATAAGAGAAGCCAATGTTGGATAAGGCCAATGGCCCATCCAGTCAACACTCTTGAGTCACACAGGGGCCAAAAATACCAGGTGCCCACTGTTGCCCCCCCAAGCACCAAGAAGACAGAGCATCCCTTGCCTCAGAATGAGAGTTCCTATCTGTACCTTGTGGCTAATAGCCACTGATGGACCTCTGCTCTTAAGAACATAAGAGAAGCCAATGTTGGACCAGGCCAATGGCCCATCCAGTCCAACACTCTTGTGTCACACAACGGCCAAAATATACCAGGGGCCATCAGGAGGCCCAGCAGTGGGGCCAGGACACTAGAAGCCCTCCCACTGTTGCCCCCCCAAGCACCAAGAAGACAGAGCATCCCTTGCCTCAGAATGAGAGTTCCTATCTGTACCTTGTGGCTAATAGCCACTGATGGACCTCTGCTCTTAAGAACATAAGAGAAGCCAATGTTGGACCAGGCCAATGGCCCATCCAGTCCAACACTCTTGTGTCACACAACGGCCAAAATATACCAGGGGCCATCAGGAGGCCCAGCAGTGGGGCCAGGACACTAGAAGCCCTCCCACTGTTGCCCCCCCAAGCACCAAGAAGACAGAGCATCACTTGCCCCAGACTGAGAGTTCCTATCTATGTGGTTGTTGTTGTTCAGTTGCACAGTCGAGTCCGACTCTTCACGACCCCATGGACCAGATCACGCCAGGCCTATCTATACATTGTGGCTAAGAGCCACTGATGGACCTCTGCTCCATATGCTTATCTAACTCCCTCTTGAAGCCGTCCATGCTTGTAGCTGCCACCACCTCCTGTGGCAGTGAATTCCACGTATTAATCACTCTTTAGGTGAAGAAGGACTTCCTTTTCTCTGTTCTAACCCGACTGCTCAGCTGCCTCGAGACCTTACCATATCGTTAGCCATGTCGTTGGGCTCAAAAATGGGAGATTTGCTATTCACGCTGAAGTCCATATGAAGAACGGTGGAAGGAAAGAAACCAGCCACACCGGCCTTGTTCCACCTGAGACGGCAAACCCTGAACTGAACTTCCAGTCTTCTGGTGGGATGGGGGGGGGGGGGGGGGGGGGGGGCTCACACATGAACACACACAGGAACCTGCCAGATACCAAATCAGCCCAGTGGTCTATTAATGTCAGGATTATCTACTCAGACCGGCAAGGGCTCTCCAAGGCCTTAAGCAGAGGTCTTCCATGTCACCTATTCACCCAGGCCCTGACCTGGAAAGCCCAGCCTAGCCAGATGTCATCAGATCTCAGAAGCTATGCAGGGTAAGCCTGGGGGGTGGGGAGGAGAAGGAGATTGGATTTATACCCTGCCCTTCACAACCTGAGGGAGTCTCAGAGCAGCTTACAAACTCCTTTCCCTTCCCACAACAGACACCCTGTGAGGTCGGTGGTGCTGAGAGAGCTCTTGACAGAAAGGGCTCTTTTCCAAGGACAGCTCTTATCAGAACTACGGCTTGCCCAAGGTCATCCAGCCAGGTGCAAGTGGAGGAGTGGGGAATCGAACCCGGTTCTCCCAGATTAGAGTCCGCGCACTTAACCACGACACCCAACTGGCTTTAAAAAGGTAAAGGTTCCCTTGCTCGAAAGCCAGTCGAATCCGACTCTAGGGTTGCGGTGCTCATCTCCGTTTCAAAGCCGAAGAGCCAGCGCTGTCAGAAGATGTTTCCGTGTGGTCATGTGGCCGGCATGACTAAACACAAAGGCGCACGGAACGCTGTTACCTTCCCACCAAAGTGGTACCTATTTATCTACTTGCAATGTCTTGCTTTCGAACGGCTAGGTTGGCAGGAGCTGGAACTAGAGACGGGAGCTCACTCCGTCATGCGGCAACCCGGGTCTCGAACTGCTGAACTACTGACCTTCCACAGCCTGCAGTTCAGCGTCTTAACCACTTGAGCCAGCGCAGCTCCAAACTGGCTTTACTGAGCTTTTAGACTACCAGCCTGCTCAGCTAATGGCGGCTGGCGCCTTCCTCCAGCCCAAGTGTCTTTCTCCGTGGAAGAGGGTCTTACACTGTGTGGAAGAGCCTCCTGAATAAGGGGAAGTCTCCCAGAGCACCACTATTAGCTGAGTGGTGGTGGGGGAAAATTGTTTTTTAGTAGTATTGATTGCCTTCTATAATGTGATTATCATTGTCTGCATCTATTAAGTATCCTGATCTACCAGGAGAGCAGATTAGACACATTTTAAGTTAATTATTTATTGGAAATTGATAGCGAGGGTCTCTTGGGTGCTGGAGTCGTCAATCATGTGCCGCCTCCCCACCCTGCAGACTGGATGGCAACCCAGCCCAGAGACATCTCTACCTCCTCCTATAATTCTATTTTATTTATGTTATTTATAGCTCGATTTTGTGACTGGGACTCAAGGCACATTATGGAGAATCATCGCCAACGCTCCCTTCTAAGCTGTGGAGTCTTGTGAGCAGAAATTGAACTTTGTGAGCTACCGGTATTGAAGCTGTGAGCGAGCGATTGGGCTGCTGCATAAACCAGTTTGCTCTGGAGCCCTCCCTTCCTGAGCGAAGGCAAAAAAGGTGTGAGCCGGAGGCTAAAACACTGTCAGCTAGCTCACACTGACTCAGCTTAGAAGGAACACTGGTCAGCGCAATCAGCATTCAATGAGCAATGCAACAGGACGAGCGTTACAGAATCAACCAGAAATCTAAAATGGGGGGGAAGGGGGGGAAATCCTGAAGCAAAGTATAAGTGTTAACATGGATGTATTAAATACTGCAAACATAGTAGGATCCTACTAATCGGTTGTGACCATCAGCCAATCACAAGTAGAAAGGGTGTTTCCAACTTTTGGGGTTGTCATGGGAACAACATCTGAATGGTCAGAGCTCTGAAGGACACACCCGGGTCATGTGCCCCTCCAAACTCTAACCCACCATGGCCTACATGACATGGGCCCTGTAGCCTGTTTGCTTGTTTGCTAGGCCATCTGGTCTTCTGCCAGCATGTAAGTGTGAAGGCATGTTTTTATGGCATGGCAATAGAGGCCATCTGGACCCCTCTATTTGGCTTCAACAGGAAATCAAGACAGCAGGGTACCAGCAAGATATCAGCAAGATACATTTCTAGGGGGAGGCAGGGGTTTATAGGAATCAATATTTCTATACACCTACTTAATAGCAAGCTGTACACAGTAGTAAAGACCACAGTTCAGAGCTGGGCTTAAGAGGGGGTCAAATAGCGGGGTGGGGGTGGGGTGGCGTTTAGGGGCAGAAAGGGTATTTTGGAAAAACTATCCCAACCCCAGAACAAAGCTTAATTCTGGGTATCGCTAAGATTGGATAAAAGCAGTTGGTAAGATCTTGCCAGCTTAGATCTAACTAAGATCATGGCATGCGGCCCCATCACTCCTTGGCAAATAGAAGGGGAAGTCGTGGAAGGAGTGAACTTCACGTTCCTGGGATCCCAGATCACCGCAGACTGTGACAGCAGCCATGAAATTAAAAGTCGCCTGCTCCTTGGGAGGAAAGCGATGGCGAACCTCAACAGCATGATAAAAAGTAGAGACATCACCCTGCCAACAAAAGTCCGCATGGTCAAAGCAATGGTATTCCCAGTAGTCATGTATGGCTGCGAGAGTTGGACTATCAGGAAGGCCGAGCGCCGAAGAATAGATTCTTTTTAACTATGGTGCTGAAGAAGACTCTTGAGAGTCCCTTGGACTGCAAGAAGATCCAATCAGTCATTCCTAAAAGAAATCAACCCTGACTGTTCCCTGGAAGGCCAAATAATGAAACTGAAGCTCAAATACTTTGGCCACCAAATGAGAAGGGAGCACTCCCTGGAGAAGAAGACCCTGATGCTGGAAAAGACTGAAGGTCAAAGAAGACGGGGACGGCAAAGGATGAGATGGTTAGACAGTGTCATCGATGCAACGAACATGAAGTTGAGCAAACTTCAGAGGACGGCGGAAGATGGGAAGGCCTGGCGTGATCTGGTCCATGGGGTCGCGAAGAGTCGGACTCGACTGTGCGACTGAACAACAACAACAACAAGAAGATCTTGCAGAAAGTTATCGGCTGGATATTAGGAAAAACTTTTTCACGGTCAGAGTGGTTCACAAGTGGAATCAGCTGCCCGGGGAGGTGGTGAGCTCCCCTTCACTGGCAGCTTTCAAGAAGAGGCTGGGCGAATATTTGTCAGGGAGGCTTTAGGCTGGTCCTGCCTTGGGCAGGGGGTTGGACTAGATGGTCTCTATCGCCCCTTCCAACTCTAGGATTCTATGTGACGGAGTGAGCTCCCATCTCTAGTTCCAGCTCCTGCCAACCCAGCCGTTTGAAAGCAAGAAATTGCAAGTAGATAACTAGGTACCGCTTCGGTAGGATGGGAATAGCGTTGTGTGCGCCTTGGTGTCTAGTCATGCTGACCACATGACCACGGAGAAGTCTTCAGACAGCGCTGGCTCTTCGGGCTTAGAAACAGAGATGAGCACCACCCCCTAGAGTCGGCTTCGACCAGCTTTCGAGCGAGGGAAACCTTGACCTTACCAAGGCAGAAGGAGCTTTTACAGCAGGGCTCCCAATGAAGTCTTCAAGCAGCGGCTAGATAAACACTGGTCGGGGGTGCTCAAGGCTGATCCTGCATCGAGCAGGGGGGTGGGACTAGATGGCCTCTTTGGCTCCTCCCACCTCTATGATTCTATGGTCTGTTTCAAGGCTGCAACATTTCTTGTGCATCGACCCCCTTTCCAAGAAGTAGCAGCTGAGAGCCGGGGAAATCGACAGTCACCGTGCTGCCTGAGCGCGAGAGGCCATCCTCCCTCCAAGCTGTGGAGTCCTGTGAGCGGAAATTCTACTTTGTGAGTTACCGGCATTAAAGTTGTGAGCGAGCGATTTGGCGCATGCTCTGGAGCCCTCCTTCCCGAGCGAAGACAAAAATGAGTGCGCCGGAGGCTAAAAAACTGTGAGCTGGCTCACGCTATCTCCGCTTAGAGGGAACACTGGAGGGGGGGGTGTCTTTTGTTCCAGGCCAGCCTTCTGAAAGCAAGCCCCCACTCTGCCCTTCTCTTTGCAGCAGAGCTGGAGGATCGAGAGGCACAAAGCTGACCGAAATTCCCACCCCAGCAGTCAGGTGGTCTTTAGACGATGTATAGTTTGTCCAGTGAAGACGATATAGTGATCTGAGCAAACAGGGCAAGGAAGACGTTAACAGGCAAGATGGTGGTGGGAGGGTTGGAATGTGAGCCAGCGGGAAACTCCTGATCCTCCAGACCTGATGGTGTGGAGCAGCAGACTTTTCACTCCAAAATTTACTTGGTCCAAATTTCCTTGGTCCGGTGACACATCCAAGGCCGCCCAAAGGGCTTTTGGGCACCCAAGTCAAATTATTCCAGAGCCAGTTTGGTGTAGTGGTTAAGTGCGCGGACTCTAATCTGGGAGAACCGAGTTTGATTCCCCACTCCTCCACTTGCACCTGCTGGATGACCTTGGGCAAGCCATAACTCTGGCACAGCAGTTCCTGAAAAAGAGCAGTTTCTGTCAAGAGTTCTCTCAGCCCCACCTACCTCACAGGGTGTCTGTTGTGGGGAGGGGAAGGGAAAGGAGTTTGTAAGCTGCTCTGAGACACCTTTGGGTAGTGAAGGGCGGGGTATAAATCCAATCTCCTCCTCTTCTTCTTTTTCTTATGACTTTGGCAACTGTCTAATTCAGCATTCTGTTTTCTATAGCCAGGTTGGGTATAGTGGTTAGGAGTGCGGACCCTAATCTGGGAGAACCGGGTTTGATTCCCCACACCTCCACATGCAGCTGCTGGTGTGACCTTGGGTCAGTCACAAGTTCTCTCAGAGCTGTTCTCTCAGGAGCACTGAGAGAGAGAGAGAGAGAGAGAGAGAGCTCTCAGCCCCGCCTACCTCACAGGCAATGCGCCCTCTAAGCTGTGGAGTCTTGTGAGCAAAAATTCAACTTTGCGAGCGACTGGCATTAAAGTGGTGAGCGAGTGATTAGGCTACGGCGTAAATTAGTTTGCTTTGGAGCCCTCCTTCCTGAGCTGAGACAAAAATGTGTGAGCCGGAGGCTAGAAAACGGTGAGCTCGCTCACACTAACTCAGCTTAAAGGGACCACTGCTCGCAGGCTGTCTGTGGTGGGGAGGGGAAGAGAGAGGAGTTTGTAAGCCGCTCTGAGACTCCTTCGGGTAGTGAAGGGTGGGGTAGAAATCCAATCTCTTTCTAGGGGCAAACTAGATGTTTTTGATAAACCACCACACATGGTGCAAAGGGCACAGCTACCCACTCTACGAGACCCAAGCAAGCGGCATTCTGACATACACGACCTCTGTGTATGGAGTTTATATTCTAGCCTTCAACTATCCTCTCCATCTCCAGTACTCCCTCTAAGCCCCTCTAAGATTCTAAGGAACTCCATCGAGTAACCATCAGAACACGTTTGCCTTGATCAACATGTCCCTGCAACGAAGGAGAAAATCTACTGACTAATGTCTGATGTGGAAGATACTGTTTCCAGGATCAGAGCGTGATTTCCACACTGCAAAAGAGAGCAAATGCAAAGGGGTGGCCTGCGACCACTGTTCCCTCTAAGCTGAGTTAGTGTTTGCTAGCTCACAGTTTTTTAGCCTCCGGCTCACACATTTTTGTCTTAACTCAGGAAGGATGGCTCCAGAGAGAGCCAGTTTGGTGTAGTGGTTAAGCGCGGACTCTAATCTGGGAGAACCGGGTTGGATTCCCCACTCCTCCACTTGCACCTGGCTGGATGACCTTGGGCAAGCCATAACTCTGGCACAGCTGTTCTGGAAAAAGAGCAGTTTCTGTCAAGAGCTCTCTCAGCCCCACCTGCCTCACAGGGTGTCTGTTGTGGGGAGGGGAAGGGAAAGGAGTTTGTAAGCCGCTCTGAGACACCTTTCGGTAGTGAAGGGCGGGGTATAAATCCAATCTCTTCTCTTCTTCTTCTTCAGAGCAGTGTTCCCTCTAAGCTGAGTTAGTGTGAGCTAGCTCAGTTTTTTAGCCTCCAGCTCACACATTTTTGTCTCAGCTCAGGAAGGAGGTGGCTCCAGAGCAAACTAATTCAGGCAGCAGCCAAATCGCTCGCTCACCACTTTTATGCCAGCAGCCCCCAAAGTAGAATTTTTGCTCACAAGACTCCACAGCTTAGAGGGAGCATTGCCTGCGACCGACTTTCAGAGGCTTCGCAACCCACTTTTGGGTCCTGACCCACAGGCCGGGAAACACTGGTGGGGAGGATAGCTATCGGACGGCCAAGAGCGAGCCGGGGATTCGAACACCGCGCCCTGCTATGCAGAAGTTAGCAGACTTTCCACTGCCCAAGAGCCGTTGCACAACCCATAATGAAACTGACAAGTACCTCTCTCAGTTCCCGGATCTGTTCCGACAGCCCTCCGATCTCTGAGTAAGAGACGTCTCCGGGATCTTCGTGAGACATGTTGTACACCAACGGGTCCACTTCCCGTGGCAAATATCTAAATTGGAGAAGGGAAGACACAATATGTTCTACTATTGCATTCTGGCCCAACCAGTTATTTTTTAAAAAATTCTTAGGAGCGATTCCCAACGTCTTTTCCCAAACAGCTGTAATTCTCACAGGGGAAAAATGGAAGACACCTGAAGAAGAAGAGATTGTATTTCTACCCCACCCTTCACTACCTGAAGGAGTCTCAGAGCGGCTTACAATCTCCTTTCCCTTCCCCTCCCCACAACAGACACCCTGGGAGGTAGGTGGGGCTGAGAGCTCTCTTGAGAACTGCTCGTGAGAAAACAGCTCTGAGAGAACTTGTGACTCACCCAAGGTCACCCACCTGGCTGCATGTGGAGGAGTGGGGAATCAAACCTGGTTCCCCCAGATTAGAGTCCGCGCTCCTAACCACTACACCAAACTGGCTCTCTGCATTTGTTATAAAGTTATCTATAGCAGGGGCCCCCAACCTTTTTGAGCATTGGGGGCACCTTTCGATTTCTGACGCCAGATGGTGGGCACAACCAGAAAATGGCCACCGTGGGAGGCAGAGTCCCTCACACGGAAACAGAAGAAGTGCAAGGAGTAATTTTGAAAAACAGCTGGGAAAAGAGGAATAAAAGAGAGACTAAAATCAACACAGTAGTGGTAATTGCCACTGAAACAACATTATTTTAATCTGCACAGCTGATTATAGACCCCTGGTCTATAAAGTGCCTTTCCAAACACTTCACCAGAGATGGGGGCAATGTTCCCTCTAAGCTGTGGAGTCTTGTGAGCAAAGGTTCTACTTTGTGAGCTACTGACATTAAAGTTGTGAGCGAGCGATTTGGCTACTGCATAAAGTAGTTTGCTCTGGAGCCCTCCTTCCTGAACGAAGACAAAAATCTGTGAGCCGAAGGCTAAAAAAACTCTGAGCTAGCTCACACTAACTCAGCTTAGAGGGAACACTGGATGGGGGTGGTGGCAGAATGTTTCCCATTGGGAATTTTCAAGTGTTTCATCTTTTTCCCCCCTGCGGAAAACTTTTCATTGCTAAAGTGTCACTGTTTCAGAAAACTTAACAAGAAAGGGATGCCATTGTTAACAAAAAGTTACGCAAAGGTTGGCCAGTTTCCAAGTTGTAATTAAATGTTTTCCAAATGATTATTTTTAGGAATTGTGTTTTATTGTTTTGTAAACCGGTGTGCGTACGTGTGTGTGTGTTAAAATACACGTCATCCAAATAGTAAAAACTTGGGAGAATCACCTGATAGGCAGAGCAGGTCAAATCAAAACAAAACCTAAAATTCTTATTTATACATCACCAAACTGACACACAATTAAGAATTCTTCCTACAGAAAAGCTGGGAAATTTGGGGCCGCGCTGAAAACAGAAGTCACACAACATTTTCTGTTTTGGGACCAGCAAAATGCTTTTCAAGGCAAAGTTTCACTCACTCAAAACGTAATATGAAGATTTTTAGCAGCATTCAGTAACAATATCTATTTATGCTACAGATGCATGCAAGGTATTTTCAAGGATACGTTTGTTGTTTAGAATATTCTAAACGATGGCCAATTAATACACTGTGAGGTAACAGCGCTAGAAAATATTTAAATAACAATCACAAAATTTATACAAAAACGTGTACAAAAAAAATCTACATATATAAATGCACAAGGCAATTGAAAATGGTGTGACGATGGTCTCCGGAATGTTCTATCGTTTCAATACTATTCTTCTTCCGAAAGTGGATGAAAGCAGCGACTCTTGGTCTGTCATTTCAACAAGTAGGTATCAAAAATTTCATTAATATTCACCGACGCATCATAACTTAGTTGCAAGAAATTCTCTGAAAGAATGTGCCTTATACAAGCACTTTGCCCTAGGAACATTGCCTTGTGCATTTATAAACGTAGATTTTTTGTACACATTTTTGTATAAATTTTGTGATTGTTATTTAAATATTTTCTAGCGCTGTTACCTCACAGTTTCTTCTTTTTTCGGTCTGTTCTGTGACTGTGACCATCATTGTTGAGCCACAATTAATACACTGTAACAGATACGTTAACAATACATGACTAAACAGTAAGTTCCACGTAATAAAGTTTCACTTGAAATCCAAATATGCTCCTTATCTATTGCGACTTTATGAGGGTTGATTATGTGGGCAGAAATACTCCTGTTTACTACACTTGAGTTTTCTAGTTTTGACTGTTATTTTTCCTGCCTTCCAGATAACAAAAGCTACATGCATTCTAAGACAGCGCAAAAAGCCTTTTTAAAAAAATATACTCAGTTTTGTGAATATACTGTGAATATACTGAAGTTTGCTGTACAAATCTCAAGCATTCACACTCTTGAATTTTGCAAATAAGCCCATTAGTACAATTTGAAATGATAAGTTATACTTGATGCTTTTGAAGCAGTAAAATAAAGCAAAATAAAACAAAACACTGGCTTGATAAGAACGTAAATATTGCATACATTTCAATTTCCCCCAAAATTTCTCTCTCTCTGTGTTAACTGCTCTCAAGCTGTTTCAGAGTTATGGTGACCCTATGAATTAATGACCTCCAAAATGTCCTCTTATCCACAGCCTCGCTCAAATCTTGCAGACTGAAGGCCGTGGCTTCCCTTACTAAGTCGATCCAGCGCGCCCAAAATTTCTACTTTTATCCAAAAAAGTCTCCCTTCCCCAACAGTGGCTTCAACATTCCCCCAAAATTTTACACCCTCTGTTTCAGGCCCTTATTATATTAAACCCATTTGGCCCCATTTTCCTGCTGAGAACGCAAGTCTTTGAAATACAAATTTTAAATAATACTTTTCTTTTTAAAAAAAATGCAATCCTTTGTCGCTCTACCTGCCCCCCCATGCTCCCTCTAAGTTGTGGCGTCTTGTGAGCAAAAATCCTACTTTGTGAGCTCCTGGCATTCAATTTATAGCCCGCCCTCCCCGCAACGCGGGCTCAGGGCGGCTCACAATCAGGTTGTGAGCGAGCAATCTGGCTGGTGCGTAAATTAGTCTGGAGCCCATCCTGCCTGAGCTGAGACAAAAAACGTGTGAGCCGGAGGTTAAAAAACTGTGAGCTGGCTCACGCTAACTCAGCTTAGAGGGAACACTGCCCCCCCTCCCCTCCCCCCCATTTGATGGCAAGACCTTACCTCATAATAGTCAGGGTGGTCATGTCCAGGGCGACTCTCGTCCCTGGCTTCAGCTTACTCTTATCGAGCTGGAGATAGGAAAAGAAACAACCCCAACGTCCAACGGTTAAAAGAGGGCCCAAAACGAGAATCTCTAAGGGAGGAGGGAAGTGCTTGGCTGCTTTAAGGTCAGGCCTTCCCTGTTCTGTAGGACCACTAGTAAGAACTCACCGTCTTCCAACTCCACCTTCCCCCAATTCAGAGCACTCAAATCAGTCATCACCCCCCCTCCCATCAGCGAACAACCCATTTCAGTTGTTAAAAACAACCTGGAGAAAAGAGCCAGAGTCCAGTAGAACATTAGAAACTAAGAAGAAGAGATTGGATTTCTACCCCGCCCTTCACTTGGAATCACAGAGCGGCTTACAAACGCCTTTCCCTTCCCCTCCCCACAACAGACACCCTGTGAGCAATGCTCCCTCCAAGCTGTGGAGTCTTGTGAGCAAAAATTCTACTTAGTGAGCGACTGGCATTGAAGTTGTGAGCGAGCGATTTGGCTGCTGCCTAAATTAGTTTGCTCCGGAGCCACATCCTTCCTGAGCTGAGACAAAAATGTGTGAGCCGGAGGCTAAAAAACTGAGCTAGCTCACACTCACTCAGCTTAGAGGGAACACTGCCTGAGAGGTGGGTGGGGCTGAGAGAGCTCTTTCGAGAACTGCTCCTGAGAGAACAGCTCTGAGACAGCCATGACTGACCCAAGATCATGCCATGTCATGCAAGTGGAGGAGTGGGGAATCAAACCCGGTTCTCCCAGATTAGAGTCCACGCATTTAACCACGACACCAACCTGGCCCTCAACAAGATTTGGCCCTGACCCAGATAGCCCAAGAGGGAATTAGCTACCGATGGACCTCTGCTCCATATGTTTATTAGCCACAAGGTATAGATAGGAACTCTCGGTCTGGGGCAAGTGATGCTCTGTGTTCTTGGTGCTTGGAGTGTGGGGGGCAACAGTGGGAGGACTTCTAGTGTCCTGGCCCCACTGGTGGGCCTCCTGATGGCACCTGGTGTTTTTGGCCACTGTGTGAGACAGAGTGTTGGCCTGATCCAACATTGGCTTCTCTTATCTTCTTACAGATAGGAACTCTTGGTCTAGGGCAAGGGATGCTCTTTCTTCTTGGTGCCGGGGGGGGGGGGGGAAGAGGGGGAGCGTTCTTTGTTCCCTTGGTCTGGGGCAAGGGATGCTCTGTCTTCTTGGTGCTGGGGGGGGTGGCGGCAACATTCGGAGGGCTTCTAGTGTCCTGGCCCCACTGCTGGACCTCCTGATGGCCCCTGGTGTTTTTGGCCACTGTGTGACACAGAGTGTTGGACTGGATGGGCCACTGGCCTGATCCAACATTGGCTTCTCTTTTGTTCTTATGTCTGGGGCGGTGATGTTGTGTCTTCTTGGTGCTTGGGGGTACAACAGTGGTAGGGCTTCTAGTGTCCTGGCCCCACTGCTGGACCTCCTGATGGCCCCTGGTATTCTTGGCCACTGTGTGACACAGAGTGTTGGACTGGATGGGCCACTGGCCTGATCCAACATTGGCTTCTCTTATGCTCTTAAGCCCGTTCTCGTCAGATCTCGGAAGCTAAGCAGGGCCAGTCCTGGCTAGTAATTGGAAAGGCGACTGCCAAGGAATACCAGGGTCGTGACGCGGAGGCAGGTGATGGCAAGCCACCTCTCTGGACGTCCCGCCCTTTCAAGCCCCACTAGGGGTCGCCAGAAGTCAACTTGCTGGCAAAAAATAAAAAAGACTAACAAAATTTGCGGCAGGGGAGGAGCTTTTGTGAGTCACTGCTCCCTTCTTCAGATACATTCTAGCTGACAGGGAAAAAAAGGGAAGAAAAAGATTTTGCTTGTATTGTAGATAAAAGGTCTTGTCCCCAATGGAGCTGCTAATGCAGAACAGCTGCGATGGAGCTTTAAAGTAAAGGTAAAGGTAAAGGATCCCTTGCTCGAAAGCCAGTCGAGTCCGACTCTAGGGTTGCGGTGCTCATCTCCATTTCCAAGCCAAAGAGCCAGCGCTGTCCGAAGACGTTTCCGTGGTGATGTGGCCGGCATGACTAAACACCAAGGCGCACGGAACGCTGTTACCTTCCCACCGAAGTGGTACCTATTTATCTACTCGCCATTTCTTGCTTTCGAACTGCTAGGTTGGGCAGGAGCTGGAACTAGAGATGGGAGCTCACTTCATCATGCGGCACCCGGGTCTCGAACTGCTGAACTACTGACCTTCCACAGCCTGCAGTTCAGTGTCTTAACCACTTGAGCCACCACAGCTCCTGATGGAGCTTATACATAGTATTATTATTTTATTTTTTTAATACTATGAGGGAGCTTTTACATAGTATTTAAAAAAAAATGATTAAACACCATTATATTATTGGGTTTCCTGAACTCCCGGCATCCATTTTTAAGAATTTCCTATCCCCTTTCCTTGCAGAGAGACACTTTTTCCTCCATACTGAAAGGGGTTAGAGACTTCGCTGTGGAAAAAGATGGAAGCTGGGAATTCAGGGAACCTCGTATACTTATTGGTATACCAGTATACCGATATAAGGCTAGACACAGTTGCTGATTTCTTTTTTTTAAAAAGAGGGGGGGGGGGAAGCCAAGGAGGGGAATTGGCCATTGTGTGCTATGACAGCAGCTGCTACTAAAGCAACGCTGTTGCCATGATTAGGTGTTATGACCAAATATAATGTTCTATCAAACGTTCATTAGCTGGACTGCTCCAGTATTCTTGTTGTCTGATTCTAACTGTGGGAATAACTATGATTATTGGCACTGTTTACTACACTGTTGGTGGATTTGTTTTCAATGTTAATGCTCTGTTCTTTATTTCCTTTGTTAATGTTAAAACCTCAATAAAACATTTTTTCTAAAAAAAATCTGCTCCGCCGATCAAACCTCCAATGGGCAATCAGAAGCCCTGCTAGACAAAAGTCCCACCTGCCTGTGCTCACTTTTTAAAAAACACTCGGCGGGCACCAGGAAAGGTGCCGGCGGGCACCATACTGGCAACTCCTGGCTTAAAGAGAGCGAGTTTGGTGTAGAGGTTAAGTGCGCGGACTCTGATCTGGGAGAACCAGGTTTGTCCTTGGGCAAGCCATAGTTCTGACAAGAGCTGTTCTTGAAAAAGA